CCCCCACCATTGCCATCAGCGGTCCATTCTAGATGTCGATGTATATTATATAATATAATGTAAAAACTAAATCAAAGATGTCACCACTATTATCGAAATTGGAATTAAAAAAGTCTGTACTATCGACCTTGATTGAGTTGGGTAATCGGTTTAGCATCCCCTTAAATCTTGAAGTTAATCATTACTTGTAATTCCGTATCTGTGTTACGCTATCGTTCATTTTATTCTTGTATAGTAGACTAAAATGATATACGGATATACCTGGGTGATACTTGGGTGAGAATCTGAATTTAACTTTGGAAGGAAATATTATCTTGTTGAAAAAAACATTTGGTATAATGACAATAGTGTAACACAAATTTGGAGCCAGGTTGTACATTTCGACCAATTTTTTGCCTACCGTCATCTCTACTCCTTTTATTGGGGTGATCCCGATTGACCACGGCTCGATTGGACATCACCAATCACAGCGACCGGTGCTTAGGAGCTTTGTAGCCTCAAGCGCTGTGAGTGGTTCGTGTCCAATTGAGCCGTGTCCAACTGGGTGCCACTCCTTTTATTTCATAACATATAGACTGCGCACGGAGACATAGAACAATCGAGTTTAAGGACGATATTAGCTGTAAATCAAAAGTAAAAATCTAAAATTTTTACAATTAAAAGTAACATTTCAAAATAGAACAGGTATGTTAACTAGTGTGTATACTGAAAAAAAAACTTAATTTCAAAAAAATTTTAAACACACAATTAGTTAACATACCGGTTCTATTTTGAAATGTTACTTTTGTTTTTCTAACATCCAAATAATATTAATAATAATAAAATTCTGTAAACAGTGAACGTGGGGTAATATGTTTCAAAGCCCCATAGCCCTTTCAAAGTCCAGTACTCTGTATGATTTACAGCTAATATCGTTTCTGAACTCGATCGTTCCATGTCTCCGTGCGCAGTCTAAATGCTATAAAACGAAAGGAGTAAGGATGATGGTAAAGAAAATCAATCGAAATGTGCACTCGGTTCCAGGCTTGGCGCAACAGATACGGATTTCGAAATAATGAATGACTTCAAAGTTTAATTGTTTATATAAAATTTAAAATAGTGACGGGCATGATTTCCCATTATTAAATCGAATAAAAGTTACATAGATTATTTTTTAGTAATTTGGAATTACTCAAGGTGCTAATAACTAACAATTACGATTATAATTATTAATTATTATGTAATATTAAATGTAAAAAATCATTTTATATTAATAAAAACATGAAATTCATCATGTTTTAAATTCATTTTGTCTTCCAAACAATTTAGGGCGGACTGTGTAAAGAGAAATATTTATTCTTTTTACCAATTTTTATTCATTAATGATTAATAGCTTTTTAACGAATAACAAGCGATGGCTAAAACCTTCTGGATGCCACTCACAATTCCCTTTGTGACAAAATATGTCAAGATCATGGAAGGGTGCCCCTTAAAGTCAATGACTACTATAACTTCTTCTCGTATGTCATTATTGAAGTGTATTAATAAATTTTTTCTCAGATTGTACGTAAAGCTGGCACGATGATGTCAATGTCGGGAGCGGATGATACTGTTTATTATGAATATAAGAAAGCTCCTGGCTCATCGACGGCAAATAAGCATCCTCTTTTTAAGAAGTTTAGAACATAAGTAGTATGATTTTCCTAATATTTTCTCAACATCACAAATTAATGAATGGTAAATAAACAATTTTATTACTATCTAGTTTAATTTGTATAGTTTGTATTCTATGTATCACTTGTAATGATAAAAGAAAGACCCTTATCAATTTTTGTATGGGTTTTGAGTTCCTTGTATAATATATGTATAGTAACGAAACTAAAATTTTTTTAATTATGAGGTTGATAGCGGTGTAACCATGGTGGAACTATTACATGGTGTGTACAAGTTTGTATGGTGGAAAGATCATATGGGGTGCTTTTCATTTGATGACACAAGTCGACACAAGCGTCGTTCTATCCTTATTGACATTCAGAGGATGACAAAGATAGAACGACACTTATGTCGACTTGTATCATTAAATAGAAAGCACCCATGGTGTGCTCAGTTTGCAAGCGTTTTTCTCTAATTCTCTGTCCTCTCTGTCTATGGATCTTCATGATATGCAAGGTCTTCAACTGTGAAACGCGGAACATGGGGCAGTATTCATAGTTCGTTTTTATTTTAAAACCGTCTTAAATGTAATGTCTTAAGATGCTAATACAGTCCTCGGAATGACTTACGACATCTTAAGATTGACTTAAGACAGTCTTAATGTAAGAATTAACTATGAATGCCGATCTGTTTCGCATCGTGAAGTTGATACTAAATTTTTTTTCGTGCAAGACAATACTCGATCTAGAGATACTATGAGCAGAATCCATAGATGTTGCTCAAGATTCGAGATGGTCTTAAGGAAATATTCTAATCTAGCGGGTAAAAAAATCGATATTTTTACATGTTTTGCAAGTGTTTGGTATAGAAAATATGTCTGTAAAAAGAATTAGCTCGATTCGCAAAATTAACAAAGATTATTGCACCTGGTAGGAAGTGATCTTCGGCTCGTTTTCGCAAAAAAAACTGCGAAGTTCGAAAGATATCGACTTTCCTGTTTCAAAAGAATATGATGATGAGAAGAAGAATGAAGAAGCTGGAAATGTTGCAACATATTTAACGGTTTCCGGCGACAGAACATGGAAAAAAAGAGGATTCCAGCTAATTGATCATAAGTAAAATTGTCTTTATATAATCAGTACGAAAAACTTTAAACGAGTTTTTCTCGAAACCATGCTTTTCAAATTAGCTCCCATAGTATCTCGAAAACCAGTTGACCAATCAAGTCGGGCATGTGCACATATCTTCAGCACATATATGGCTATAGCCCGTACCAGGGGCTATAGCCATATATTTTTATAATTTTTACAACCATTTTGGTGGAAAAAAAAGATAAAAATCGAAACTTAATTTTTCGACATGACATTTTTTAAATTATCAATATTTTTTCTTCGTTCTGGTACCTGCTATAGCCAAACTCATACTAATTAAGAATTTCTTTGGTTTTTTTTGTTTCAAGTGAGCAAAAGAGCTGGAATCGTGGGAGCCATAGACCTAGTTTTATTTTTTACAACGTTATTTAATATTTTATACAGCGCATATTAACAATTATTTTTTAATAAAAAATTCTAAAACGTTCTTCAAATATGTACAAATATGTAGAAAAAAACCCTGTCCCAAAAAACTTTATCTTATATTTTTAAAAAATTCGCAAAAATAGCATAAAAATTCAACTTCTAAACTAGAATACCCCCTTAAGCTAGTGCATGAATCAATCAGAGAGCCATATTAGTAACTTAAAACATTGTTTGAGATTGAACGAACTATGGATTCCGGCCTATGTTGTCTATGATTATAAGTGGCGTGACGAAGAAAGTACAAGGTTCATAATTCTGACGTCCCAGGTTCAAAAACCCGGCCGGTAAGTGAAAAAGATTGAAATATAATTAAAAATTAGAATTAATTAATAAAATTAGTTATCTAAGGTTTAGGCACTGTTGATAAAAAAAATTAATTTAAAAAAAGATTCTACATTATTATTTTTTCTAATTTTGTTCAAATAAACATTTAAAGTTTTAACGTTAAAGAAATGTTTCTTCAAACGTTAAATAAACGGTTTTTAAACGTTAAAAAAATGTTTCTTCAAACCTTACAATAAACGATTTTTTAATAAAAAAACGGAGACTTAACCGAAGGGGTAACCATTTTTTAATTCCGATGAATAATCTATCAGAAGTCCGATAAAGTTCGGTGAAGTTCGATTAATTCATGAATTCCGATGAAGTCCGATGAATTCCGGTGAAGACCGATGAATTCCGATGAAGTCAGATGAATTTCAGTGAAGTCAGACGAATTCCGGTGAAGTCCGATGAAGTCCAGCGAAGTCCGATGAATTCACTAATTCCGATGAAGTTCGATGAATTCCGATGAAGTCTTGAGTCCGAAGTCCAGGTGTACACCTATTTTTTGAATGGTTACCCCCTTGGACTTAACTCATTATTTTTAACGTTTTTAAAAATGCTTTTAAAAATGTTTTTTAAATATTTTTAAAAACATTTTTTAAATTATTGCCTACTGATTGGGTAACCTCGAAAAATAAACATAATCTCATCTTGTTTTCGTTCGATAAAGATGCAGCTCTTGATTTGGTATGTTCTATATTATTTTATTAAGCTATACACGTAGTTTTAATATTTTATCCAAATTATGCAGATATTTGTAATTTTGAGTGGGCCCTGGTGAGGCACTCCAAATTTTCGGCATTTTACTTAAGAACTATCTTGAAGCAGAACAATAATAGTCATTCATATAAAAAAGTTTTTCGCATTTAAAATAGAACAAATCACAATAATATAAAAATGACGTTAAACTGAATCGTGATTGAAAAAAATGACTTTAGCAAGCTTTTAAAGACATTTAACATCATGATGATTTTTTGTTCTATGTAAATATGGCCCGGTCTCACCAACTCCGATTAAGCTAATCGGTCGATTAAGTGTCAACCGTAATTGGTCAATTCTACTGAACAGCAAATGCGATTGGTCAGTTCCAATGTAACAATCGACCGATAAGGTTAAGGGCTGCCGCACACACCTTCCGTAACAGTAACCATAAGACGTACCATAAGAATTAGCAAATCACAGTCGAGAATTTTTTTGAACTCTTAATTCTGATTGGCTGATACTTACGGTACGGCTTATGGTTACTGTTACAGAAAGTGTGTGCGACAGCACTAATCGGAGTTGGTGAGATCGGCCCTATGTTTTTCAATTTATTGCATATGATAGATTTTAGATACATTTCATTTTGCAGAATTCTTTCAGAATTGTTACACATGAGATTAAAACTCATGGAAGGTTGAAACATTTCTGAAAATTTTCCGCAATAATCGGTGCTATATAGGAACTATGGGAAGATGCCAATGTGTGTAATACGGGTTCTATAATCTCATAAAAAATTTTTTTACTTTATTATTTTTACCTAACATATCAAATATCATCACGTCTTTTATTAATAAACCCATTTTTATAACCGGATATAGATGCTTAAACAAATTAAGTTCCCTCATAAAAGTACATACTTACACAAGGATAAACGGAATAAATTTTCAATTCAAAACGTCCATAAAATAAATTGCATCGATTGCGAGGTTTTGTGGAACTGATAATGAGGGAATTTGGAACTCGTGTAAATAAACACAGAGATAACATTAAGTGATTCGTCGAGATACTCGGTTATTACTCAACACATTTTGAACTATAATCATTCTATTGATCAGGAAGGTATCAAGATTCAAGATATAGAAACTAATTATAATAAAAGGAAAATTTCTGAAATGTTACACATTAAAGAGCAAACAGAGGGTAGTAATTCACAAAGAGATACAGAGAGTCTTAATGCGAGTCTCATTCTTATTTATTAGTCTTATAATTAGTAGCAATAATAAATAAATATTGAGCTCTTTGGTCTGTCCTTATAGCGTTATTTTTCTCATTAGAATTTGTCGTTGTTAACATCTAGATATGATATCTCTGGCTTCATAATTCATATGTAAATTTTATCGTTAATCTCCATTTTAATCTATTTTAATCTTTTAATTGATTTACTGACCAAATTGTCTCTGTTGTAATAGATAAACAACATACAGAAAAATAGATAAATGACATACAGAAATATAATATTTTATTGACTTTAACGATCGATATTCGCTAAACAACGAAGGATTCGAGGACTACCCAGACAACACCCATGCCCAAAACGAGACATAAGATATTCTTAATTTAAATTTAATTATCTCAGATGTAATTTAAATTTAAATTAAGAATCTATATTCATAACATCTAACTTTGACCGATTACTAGCGTTCTCTCTCATATTTATATATATTATTCACACGGTCGTCCTTATTCTTAAATTTATTTTATTAAAGAATTTTGAGTTTGTACGGCATATCTGGAAAATATCCGGTATCTGGCCGGATAATTACCTACCGGATATCCGATCAGATATCAAATATTCGGTGTCACATTCTTTTCAGGTATCCAATATCCGGTAATTTTACGATCCGCGCGCGCGCGCGGTGTATCCCTAATAGATATTGTAAAATTAATAGTTTACAATCATGTATTTTATATTTTATTCTGGTATATTTTGACATAAAAATCTTACAAACAATTAATTTTTTAATAAATATATATTAATATAAATAATGAGCATATAGCCACAGCACAAGATGTTGTAATGAAGTCATATATTAAAAAATTACAATAATAAATAATACGTAGACATTTCGGTCAAGATTTGACCATTATCAGTACAGTAAAATTATAATAAGATGTTCCGTAAAATTAAAAGAATAATAACAATATATCTTAATACTTTAATACACAGTGTAAACAATATTTCTCATAAACTATTAATTTTTCGATATCTGTACTTTAATACTTTTATATGCAGAATAATTAAAAGAATCATATTACGTGACAAAAATTATTATAATTCTATTTAAAAAATTGGCGATGACCATATAGCCTCAAAAAATTAATTTTTTTTGACAATTAATTTTATCAATATTTGTCCCCCTCTAGATTATACAATTTTCGTCTAAAATGTTTTCTCCTAAATTTTATGGATTTTATGATATTTTGACTGTATGATAGTTAAAGTGAGACACTCTTTATAAATGGGAAAGCAAATGAATTGTATTACATTCTATTATTATATGTATATACGATTTATGATATACGTTAATCTACGTTTATCTCGACTATTACTCGACGTAGAAAGTTTTCATTATATAGAATCAAGTGAACGTATGTTATTTAAGTTGTCATTTCTTAGTGTAATTCTCTAATAGTTACTATTTAAAACGTATCCGTAACATCGTGAAACGACATCCTTGTCCTGCTGTTTGTTAATCATAAATTAGTGGCACGAGACCATTCAGTGACTATTTATTGTGATAGCATCAATCTATTAAAATTATGATAGTATGTGAAATTTGTGTGCACAAGAAAAAGATTTTAGTTATAAGAGCGAATATTGATACTTGGTTTGACTGCTGGTGACCTCGATTCTAAATCCCGCAGGCTGTCCTTTCACTTTAAAAGCGTTTCAATGAGCATTCTTTCTCGCACCAGCTTAATACTGAAGACATACGTACTTCATAAAAGAAACCTCAGTTTGTTTCTAGAACGTCGATTAGTGAGTCGTTCGTCGTCGGTGTTTTTAAGTTTCACTTTCATGTAAGTTTTAAAGCAGAGCGTGTCCGTCATGTTTTCTTCATACCATGACGTATTCTCTTCATTTATTTGACATAGTTAAATGGTGTTTTGTTGAGGAAGCAGCTACAGAAAATAAGAAATAATACGGAAATAATATAACAATATGAGTATATATTAATGTGTGTGTGTGTGTAACACAATAAGTATATATATACACATATAGTAAATAATATTAAAAATTAATAGGAAATAATTTAATGTGGAGATGTATACTGCGTTTTCTTAAGAGAATACTGGATATTGTATTTACATAACACAAGTAGAACACAGCATTTACAAGGCGTTAAAAAATGTAAGCGGTTTTTTACTTTAGAAGCGCTGCTTGGACATGCAGTCTCACTTAGATTTCACTTTCGCATCATTGTAACTGAATTTAGTAAACAAATTGATCAATATAAGAAATATATTTAATACTTTAATGCATACAATTCCATATGTATATATATATACATGTCTGTCCTTTTGCAGTTTTTTTTTCATGTTTTTATACCTAATTATGCGTAAATTGGTATCTTAATTTGTGTTTTTGGGACATATATATTATATCTCTTATGTGAAGTTATATACATTTTGATTCTGCATGTCGTGCGTTGAAATAGTTTTTCGAGCTTAAAACGCATTCATGCGGAAACAGAAAAGTAATATCACTTATTAAATTACAATGTACAAGCAATTTAATAATTTTTTATTAAATAATAAGCATCTTTTTTAACAAAATTGTCATACATTAGTGAAATTTAAAAATTATGAATAACGTCTACAAATTAAAGAGTATTTAATATTACATGAAAATTTATATTGATTTCTCCGAAGGAATTTGATGCGCTGAATCCAAATCTGGCCTCAGAATGACGCCATCACGTCAGGATTTTGAGATATTTTAACCTAAAAGTGCAAAAATGGCTGTTTTAGGACATTATTGGAGTTTCCTTCTGGTTGCAGAGAATTTCACCGAAATTCGCCATGTTTTCATTCATTGCTAATGCCAACTTTTCCTGAACTTTACCGTTCACTTCATCAGGGCGAGAAACGCACTGATACTGAGCTGCTTCTCCAGAAAATTCCCTTTATGTGAAGAAGGACGAGGATATGTTGAGGAAAGGGGAGGGGAGGGAATTCTTGGCTTGTCAAGAGAACAATCTTTCATATCCTACTTACATTATAACCTGAGTCTCTGTTCAAATTGTCTGAATGTTTCTGTATTTTTACAGCCTCTCTGTACTTCTTCGGAAAATATGACATCGTTGTAGTAACCATTTTATCGAATAATATTTGATGTCCTGTCTCAACAATGTGTTCTGCCAATGATTGAGTGACATATTCCAGCCTGACATGAATAGCCTGTTGATGTTCTTTCATGCGCATATTGACCATTCTTCCGATTTCACCACCGATGTATACTTTCCCGCAAGAGCAGGGTATTTTCCCAGTATCCGAAAAGGGATTAAAATAAATTGAAAATTTTTAATCTATTTTAATTTATTTGAATCAAAATTCTTGATTCATGCATATGGATAGAAAAGAATTGAATGTGGTAAAATTGAATAATTTTCTATCCATATGGATAGAAAGGAATTGAATCATTTTCTATTCATGTGTAGGATCCTATTCCATTATTTTATATTCTATGTGTTGAATCCTATTCCTATTGCATGGCTTATTTTTTCTCAAAACTTTTTTTCGATTAAAAGGAATACAAATTCTGTAGATTCAATCCCACGTTATGGATTAAAATGAATTGCATGGCTTATTTTCTCCGTAAAACTTTTTTTTGATTGAAAGGAATACAAATTCTGTAGATTCAATTCCAAGTCATGGATTAAAATAGATTCAAGCATTGAATGGATTGAAATGGATTAAAAAAATCAAAAATTTGGATTCAGCAATGACCAAATGAATCTATTTCAATCTTTTTCCGGATACTGGGTTGTATACTCCCTTGGAGGAACTGAGTGGAGATCTTTGATCTTTAGGATTTCTCAAGATTTGCTCAATCTTTCTTGGAAGCTTGAAAATGGTTCGGATGTTGTGTTTGTTCAAAATGCTGCCAATTCGGTCTATTGTTCTTTTTACATATGGGAGAGTAGAAAGACTTCTTGTTCCTTGTTGTGTGTGTGAGTTGTTCTTTGTCCTGTTCTACATGCTTTTTGTATTTATTCCGCTGTAAGGTTTGTTTCAAATGGTGAAGTTCTGTTTGTAGATGTTTTTTATCAGATATACTGAATGCTCTATGTACAAGTGAGTGTATTGTCGACTGTTTTTGTGCTGGGTGGTGGTGTGATTTGGTATGTAAGTATCGGTCAGTGTGTGTTGGCTTCCTGTATATACTTGATGGCCCAGGGTATTGTCAACTTTTTTTGCGACAAAAACATTCAGAAAGGTAAGTTTATCATTCTTTTCTATGTCATGATGAATCAAATATTGGAACGTTGATTGTTGAGAAAGTTTAAGAATTTGTGAAGTTCATCACTACCATTGTTCCTTCATGCGCACGTTGATCTTCAGATTACGGATGTGTTGTCTACATAACGGAACCAAACTTCTGGTTTATTGATCGCCTTACGAAGAGCTTCTCCCTCGAAGTATCCCATGAAGATGTTCCCTGATAGTAAAATATTAGCAATTTGCGCGCAAATTGGCAGCAAACTTGATCAGATTTTGATTACAAAACTATAGCCATCTGTATTCGCATTTAGTTATGGATTTGTCGATGAAGTCTGCTGACATAATCTGATGGTATCGAGAGTATACAGGGCACATAACAGTCATATATAACGAAATATTTTAAAACATGAAAAATCAAACGAAAAGTATGTATAATATAATATTCTATAATTGATTAAAAGGTAAATGTTAAGAAGACTCCCCTCAACCTCAAATTTTGATAAAAATATACTCAATCGATGCGTTTTTGCATGAAACGAAAGAAGCTGGCCGAAAAAAGTGTCGTTCTGCCTCGTGAACCGAGATATTAAGCGTTAAAGTTTGATATTTTAGAGGTTAAGATATCCGTCATCCCCATTCGATACAGCGTGGTATGTATACATTCTGCTTTAATTACACAAATTCACTGCTATAAAAACAATTTCTCTGCTTCACAAACACAAATTCACTACTTTAAAAACACAAATTCACTGCTTTAAAAATATAAATTCACTGTTTTAAGCACACAAATTCTTTGAATTAACATTTAAATCGACCTGATTTCTTATAAGAAATTTTGCGTACATATATATAAATGGTTATATATAATTATACATAATTATATATTTATATATGTGGTGTAAAAACTGGAAACAATCAATATAGTTTTATTGCTAAAATATTATTGATTAGCTTCACATTTCAAAAATACACATGAGAAAGTCATAAAATAGTCAAATAAATATTTGGAAATTCAGAAAACACACTCCGAAAGAGCTTGGGAATCTTTAGATTTGCCTTCGGTTTACATATGCCAATAGGACTCCTGGACAATTTCTTCTTATGAGAAACAAATCCATCTCGTGGCGATGCCGTATATAAAAATGACAGATCTTGTTCGGTTTTTGCTGTCAATTTGCTGTCAGGTTTATATGTCAGCAGGCTCTGTTCGGTTTTTGTCACTAATTTGCTGGCATAGTATGTCAGCAGCGTCATATTTTTGACAGCTGTTTGCTGACAATATCTGATAGTACAAACTCTGTGTACAATTTGTTGCTTTTTTGCAATCAAAAATTGGTAGTAAGCTCTGTTCAAAATCTATCTCCGCAGGCTTTGCTATCAGGGTTTGCAATTACAGGAGAGATGGGAGAGCTCATAACCACTCCAGTCTATTCGTAAAATTGGTCATTGTAGGAAACCATGTAGTCATTAGGCAGTGTTCAATTAAAAGGATGATGTTATTGGGGATATTATGTGAGATTTTAATTATATCTAGAGTTCCTTTTATTGGAATGTGTTTATGGAAAGTGACTCTACATTGAAACTCACCAATATATCTTCAGGATGCAGACGGATTTTTGGATTTTCTTTATGAAATCCGTCGAATTGACGATATGCGATTCAGTCCTCCCTATCAGAGATTGTAATCGCGACCTGGGAAGCGTGAGAGGTCATATGTCGAAGATTTTATGGCGCTGACAATTGGTCTGAGAGAGATATTAAATTTATATAAAATAAATTTAAATTCAGAAGGTGGCTAAAATTTAATAAACACCAACAAAATAAAGCATATAGCCACAACGCTAGATAAAATTTACGCTAGTCAGTTTATTAAATTACAATAAAATAAAATTAATTTTCATATTTTATTGTAATTTAAGGGGATGCTGGAGTGTCCTGTTTTACCATCAATTTTTAAAGACTCTTTTCTCTTAATTGTGTTTATGGATTGAAAAGTCCTTCTCCACAATTAAAGTATCGACAACAACACAGGCTGCCAGCTACAATGTAATGCGAAAAATGAAAGAAAATTAAAAATTGTAGTTTTGTCACCGGCTCCTGCAGTCAACTCGTCACAATATGTGCTGCATATAAGAGTTTCAGATTTTACCCGTTTAAAATAAGTAGCCAGCAGCCTACAGAAAACCTTGAACAACAATCCTATGCTTTTAGAAACGAAGTAGGGGCTTTGGTACAAGAGAAAAGAGTCGCCAAAAATTTCGTTCGTATACTACGAATAAAATTGACGTGAAGCCATGAAACCGTGCAGTATTTTAGTTGATCTCTTTCTAAGAGATGGCGTTGCAATATGTCAGATAAGGACAGATGAATGCGTTTGAGCGAGACACAACGATATAGATAAGTATGAGAAATGGATGAAAGATGTCACTATTATCGAATTTGGAATGTAAAAAAGTCTGTACTATCGACTTTGATTAACTTCGACCGTCACTCCAGCATCCCCTTAAGTTAAAAGTTTAACCCTTGTATTATAAATTTTATCCCTTCATAAATGACAAAAAATAATTAGACATATTTTCCATATAATGTATTTCTTTTTACAATAAATTAATAAGGTAATGATAAATAATAATATAAAGTTACAATGAAATATGTGTGTTACAGCGCCACACCACGATAAATGGCCGAACTTATAGGCGTGGAAAAGTGACATTTTGACCAGTTTTGACGACGAAATTTGTGCACGGTGCCATTTCATTATTATTTGCTGAATTGTGAAAATGTGACTTGTCTCGTACTTATTAAAGTCTTAATTTTCGATAAAAACTAAAGTTATCTTGAAATTTTATACGTGAAAGTGTATATTTCACTCGTTTCAACAGCTGTTAAACCATATGTTTTTGCCAGAATATAGCCTCATTTTACGAGTCTTTTACGACCATTTACTGACTATCAAGGGAGAAAAGGACAGTTTTCATCGATTTTTACAAGTGTTTTAAAGCGAAACCATCGTTTAATTTCATCCAAATTGTCTCTGTTTACAAATGGCATCGTGCGTAAATTAACGTGTCATTCCTCGCTTCTGACGTCACGATTCCAACATGGCCGTCGCGACTACTCAGAGGCCTTAATAAATTGACTTGCGCAAATTTTATCTAACGTTGTGGCTGTATGCTTTATTTTGTTCGTGTTTATTAAATTTATATATTTTTGGCAGACCATATAGTCTTAGTGGAAGATAATTCATAAGTTTTAATATTGCTTTGCTGAAGAGTCCGCTTTTTTCTATTAAAATGCTAGTTTTCCTGTTTGTTTGATCTCTATCAAGCCTTGTATATATTTCATTCGAAAGGAGAGTTCTGTATCCATCTTCGTTCTGTAGTCTGATCATCTATAAACAACCCAACCATTTGAAACAAATATTACAGCGGAACGGATACAATAGAAGAATGTGGACAGGACAATCAGCAAACATAGAAGCGGGACAAAGAACAACTCAGATACACAACAACCACAGAAAGAATTAAACAAAAGAAGCCTCTCTATTCTTTCATGTGTAAAAGGAACAATAGACCGAATCTCGGTAGGATTTTGAAGAAACACAACATCCAAACCATTTTCAAGTCTCCAAGGAAGATCAAGCAAATCTTGAGAAATCCTTAAGATCAAAGACCTCCACTCAGTGAAGTATACAAAATACCTTGCTCTTGCAGGAAAGTATACATCGATGAAACCGAAAGAATGGTCAACGTGCGCATGAAGGAACATCAATGGGATGTTAAGCTGAAACCCGTTATACAATCAGCATTGGCAGAACACAGCGTTGAGACATTAAATACTATTCGATAAAATAGCTACTATAGCTACAACGATGTCATATTTTCTGAGGAAGTACAGAGAGGCTCCAGAAATACAGAAACATCCAGACAATTTCATTAGAGTCTCAGGTTATAATGTAAGTAGGATAAGGAAGATTGCTTTCTAGACAAGCCAAGAATTCCCTCCCCTCCCCTTTCCTCAACATATCCTCGCCCTTCTCTACAGCGTCCATAGAGGAAGTTCTCCGGAGGAGCAGCTCAGTCTCAGGGCGCTCCTCGCTCTGATGAATTGAACGGTAAGTTTCACGAAACGTTGGCATTAGCAATGGATGAAAATATGCAAACCACAGGTTATCTTTCACGGGTATTATCTTCAAAAATACCACTTTCAAAGATACGGATTTTTTAAATCTCTTGATTTATTACAGGCACTTGATTTTGAGGCATTAAGGCTCCTGAGTAGTCGCCGCGGTCATGTTAGAATCATGACGTCAGAAGCGAGACATAACACGTTAATTTATGTTGCATGCCATTTGTAAATAAATACAATTTGGATAAATCTAAATGACGAGATCGCTTTAAAACATTTGTAAAAATTGACGAAAACTGTCCTTTCCTTCCTTGACAGTCGTAAAAGGCGTAAAAGGCTATAAAATAAGCTTATACTCGGGCAGAAACACACGGTCTGACAGCTGTTGAAATGAGTGAAAAATATGCTTCTACATATTAAATTTCAAGATGACTTTAGTTTCCGTCGATAATTACGACTTTGATAAGTACGAGACAAATCACATTTTCACAATTAAGCAAATAATAACGAAATGGTATGCAACACAAATTTCGTCAAAACGTTACTTTTTTACGCCTATAAGTTCAGCCATTTATCGTGGCGAGGCGCTGTAAGCACGATCCCATGTACATACATACATGTGCTTGCCTTTGACGTACCGAGAGTACATGTACACTGCTGTTCATTAATCGAGTCCCTCGAGTGTAGGAGGGTGGAGAAATTACAGTTATGTCAGCCAATCAGATTCTGCTATCAACCTAGTTGATTGCCTAATTGCCTGTTCCTACACTAGTATACATAAAAAGGGATGATCCCGATTGACCACGGCTCGATTGGACACCACCAATCACAGCGACCAGTGCTTAGGAGCTTTGTAGTCTCCAGCGCTGTGAGTGGCTCGTGTCCAATTGAGCCGTGTCCAACTGGGTGCCACCCCATAAAAAGGGACTCAATTAATGAACAACAGTGTACAGCCGGTCACAGAAAGGTTGTAACACTTTTTTTGATGGGTTTCGGAATGCGGCCTACTCACCGAGCGATTGGTTCTTATTTGTGGATCCATGAATAATAGCGTTTTCGGCCCGGCCAGGTTTGCACCAACCTGGGTTGGATCAATGGCGTTTTGTGCTCTCCTATTGGTACAGCGTGTGATGTCAACCAATAGGAAAGATTAATTCAACCAAGGTTGGTGCAAACTAGAAACCCTCTAATCAGAGTCGCGACACGAGAACAGCCAATTTTATTGGTTCGTCATTTTTCAGCAATTCCCGCCAATATTCGAATATCAATATTGGCTGCGTTCGAGAACATCTCTCGGATGCCTCGGATTCATCATCTGTCCTTATTTAACATTTAAGCGGGGAGCACAGACTTTTGCATAACGCATAACACATGAGGCATAAGAAATTAAACCAACCAGAGTTCTCTATTACATGGAAAGGAAAGAAACGGAGAACTTCGATTGGTACATATTCTTATGCATTACGTGTTATGCGTTATGCAAGAGTCTGTGCTCCCCGCTTTAATGTTAAACAAGGACGGATGATACATCCGAGGCATCGGAGGCATTCGAGCGACGTTTCCGAACGTAGCCATTGTAGGAATAGGCGATATTCGTATCGATACGTTAAAAATCGTTCGCAAACTAATCTATTTTGTAAAGAATCAATTTTTCCAACCAAAAGAAGCATAAAATGACAGAAATAGCGTTAATAGCATCTCCCTGAACGCACATTTTTTTCAACATTTGTCGCCCATAATGCTCGACGTTCAACATCACGCTGAAATATTTTCATTATGTAGCCTTTGGCTGCAGAATTATTGCAAAATGGGGCTGCACACCCAACCATTTTGCAATAATTTTTAATAATATTCTAAAAGTCGTACTATAGAAAGACGTATCTTACGGGATCATGACTCACACAAGAACTATGAAGGTTAGAAAGAGACACAATATATTCCTCTCTCTTTCTTGTGATTTTACTGAAACTAGAGACTTTTAATATAAAAAGACCGTAAAAGCGTGTCTCTAACTAGAGTCTCCGTTCCTAGTGTCGCGACTCTGATTAGAGGGTCTCTAGTGCAAACCAGATCGAGCCGAAAACGCTATAAGAATCAATCGCTCGGTGAACAAGTTGCATTCCGAAACCCATCGAAAAATAAGTGTTGCAACCTTTCTGTGACCGGCTGTACATGGACTCGTGCTTGTGTGTGTGAATACCGGTTCGCGATACAGAATCAGGCCGCCGTCTGAGGGTCCGCGCACAAAGATGGTCGCAACTGAGTCGTAGTCGTAAGTCGTTGTCGTAGGTCAACGCACAAGGATTTTACGTATGTCGTTTACGTATATCCTATTGCGCCAGTTGTTTGCGTCAACTGACTCTTTGTCACGGACACTCTTTGTGCGCGGACCCTGATTCTGTATCGCCATCACCAACGCAGAGTTCTTAGCTGAGTACTCAGGAGCCTTAATAAAATAAAACTTTAAACGGCTATAACAAAAAAACTAGTCATTTTCAAGCTTTGTGCCTATGGACACTTTTGATCAGTGAGTTAATCACTATAACACATTAAAGTTTCAGCCAACTTCACTTCTGAAGGCCAAAATCCTATGATTTTATGCGGGGTCCTTTATATATATTTATTAAATTGAAATTATGTCGCGATGTAATAATAATAATAATTCGACGAATTAGAATTATGTCAAGACACAATAAAAATTGTTTTCATTTTAATTTAGACACAATTTTAATATTAAATTATTAATTGTATCAGAGATATAATAAAAATTTGGAATTATTATTACGTCGGGACATAATTTTAATTTGTAGAATTATTATTATGACTTGACATTAGTTCTGGCTTATATATAATAAAATAAAAAATTATTTTATAAAAAATATTTTTTTGATTTTATTCTATTATTTATTACATTTTTCTCAGTTTAAGATTAAAATTATTTATGAATGTAATAAAATTTTTATAAGCAGTAATTGAAAAAATTAAAATAAAATTTACAGTACAATAGATCAATGTTACCTTAGATAATTAAAAAGTCATACCCAATTGTCCTAAAAATTAATCTTTATTTGTCATGTTTAGTTATATATAGAACAGCCATTAAAATTAAACGTACTTGAATATGAATAATTGGTGTGTACGCAGAGATTTCCTCTTTAAAATGATCGTGAAGACCCTGGTTTCACAGTTGCTGCTTTTGTTAGTCTTCTACGACCGTAAGTATATTATTTATTTCGTATGCAATATTCCCAAATAGCACATAATACTGCGTAAATATTGAATAATACTGTGTTACGTCCAAGAGTCCCAGGATTTTTTATTTCAAAAAAAAGTTTTGAAGTAAGGAGAGAGCCACGTAGGAAGAACGTAACTAAGATCCTTGTTGTGATCAACATCCTGGAGCATCTATTGTAAATCGAACGCACCTGTGTAAAACCCCAGATATACATAAGTCAACGTACATACCATACGCAGGATTAGGTAGTAACTAATTAATAAGTTAAAAGTTAAATAAAAAAATAGAAAGTTGAAAATTAATTTTTAGTTTAATTTAGTTAACCCTTGAACACCACCGTGGGTTACGGTAATCCAGTCCGTTTGAAAAAACGCGTGGCGTTTATGAACGATCAGAAGTGTGGAGTGGGAACAAGAAGGGGAAAAACTTTCGCACTAAAAATCTCCCGCCTGGCAACCTCAGCGTGCACGAATCAGTCGAAATAGAACGTCATGAACTTACTGTGTGGGTTACGCCTGTGTGGTTATTACGTTTTTTATTTCGATATCAAATTGTAAGTAAATATACGAACAAGATCAAATTCAAATGCGAATTCAAATCGAAGAATTCATGAAACACACAGACATTCCAGAAAATCAAGATC